CCCCGGCGGAGGCGGAGGAGGCCCGACACAAACTTCCCGGCGCGTTAGCACCGGCGTCACGGGCCGGCCGGCCCCAGCGCCATTCCCCCGGGCCGGCGGCCGCTCCCGCCCCTACTCCCCACACTCAGCGTCCCGGCGGAGACCGGTCCGAGGCCCACAGCCCCCACCGCTCCGGCGCCCCTGACTTTACCTCCAAGTCGCGGCCTTTGTTCTTGAAATTCTTGAGCCGTTGGTTGTCCAGTTTCTCGTTGTCCGCCATGGCCGGGCCGGTGACTCCTTCCCCCGCCCGGGCCCCGCGGGATCCGCCCCAACCACCGCGCCGCACCGACACTCCCAGGAACCGGGCCGCCGCCTCAGCTGCTATGCCCGCCGCGCTGCCGCTTCCTTCCTCCTCTCACTTGCCTCCACCTCGGCGCTCTCCTCCTCTCCCCGCCCGCCCTCCCGCTCTCACCCCGGCACGACTGCAGCTCCGGCAAAGACAACTGCGGGGCCGGGCGGCGGCAACGGCGGCGGAATGTGCTGCCGGCTGAGAGGGGGAGGCAGCCTCGATCTGAGGGCCCAGGCGCCGCGGCCACGCCCATCGCCGACAGTCCACATCGCCGATTGGTCCACTAGGCTCCGGCGCGTTTAACCAATCAGAAGGGGCGATGGAGAGCGGGGGCGGAAGAGCGAACGGAAAGGGGAAGCGAGCGACGCAGGGAGGAGTGGGCTGGGGGCCGGGAGGGGTGGGGAGGGGAGGCGTGCGGCGGGGGCAGGCCGGGAGGGACCACGTGCCTCCGGAGAGAGGGGGAGGAAGCGAAAGCAAAGTAGACCTGGGGGAGGGTGGAGAGGGGAAGGAGGGGCCGGGCGAGTTGGTTTGCTCCGGTTGTCAGGGCAGCCGCAGACGTCGGGGTCCAGGGTAGAATACGAGTTAAAGTAACATTCTTTTCTCCCCAGTGCGTCCTCTCTTTGAGGGCATTCTTTGCACGCTCCGCTCATTAGCAGGTAGAAGAGCTGTGCCTTGGCTCTATCCTGGGTCGAGAACCCCTTGATGCATCGCCTCGCAGACAGGGGGTCCCTGCCGTCTGAGGGCCGGGTCTGGGGACTAGGACTGACAAGGTTTATGTCTGTTCCGGAAGCGCAGCAGAGAGCGAGGGGAACAGTGAGTCGAAAAGGAAAGGGGATCGTTAAACGAACCAGATCCATCCTTTCTGACAGAGTCCCGCAACAGTTAGGAACTGCTGATGATCTGGGATGACACCACTTCCTAGGATTTCGTCTTAGAAAGTTAAAGAAGCTTCTTAACCTGAAAGCATGAACTGCTGGAGGGCGGGACCATGGCATCTGACACAGAATGTAATATTGTAACTCTGTTAAAAGGGAATTCCAGGGGTACCATCTTTACCAGGAACATCAGCACCAGAACATGTTCAACAATTTCAGAAAACAGCACGAGGAAATTATTTTTAAATGTATTTAAATAACAGCCAACGTGCAGTGAAATGCGAAGTAGCAACTTGGGTCGGGATCAGGGAATAAAGGCATTGAGTGTGTTTAAACTTGGTGAGCTAGGGGGAAGAAACTGTGACACTCCTGGAACTTGCTAATCCTTTCAAGTATATATATATATATATATATAGTAGACAAACGTGCAGAAATAAACGTTTAAAATGCAAATGTTTCTTAGGAAGCACTTAGGAATTCAAAAGAGGGGGATTTTTTTTTTT